CCAGTAATGGTACCTTATTTATACTATGAATAAATAGCAGGACAAAGCCTGCTGTTACAAATTTCACAAGTAGTGACTTAGTGTCAACCATATTTAGATGTTGATGCCCCAGAAGAGCTTTAGTTATGATACTGTCTGTTAACCTTCTGTGGTGGGAGTGGAGTAAAGGAAGCACTCACTGTTTTGGGATTGCTGATAATAAACTACACAGCTGCTGTGTTCTCACACAAGTCTATGTGTGGATCGAATTGTTACACTTCCATGGAGGCCAGCAGGATACTTATTCACAAGATGGTCATGAGAGGCCAAACAGGTAGTCTTCAAAACTAACCTGCCATTTTCTAAGAGAGAGGCTATCAAAAGTCCTGTCCCTTTGTGCCCTTTAATTTTACCATGTTCTGCAAATAAATTTGATCAAGGATGAAGGGACAAAGTAAACACAAGTTTTTAATGAGATTAGTTAAGTCTTTTCAAAGATTTAAAACAAAACCAAATGGGCTGGTGGTCTACCTGTTTATCACGTAAGGTCCTGGGTTCAATCACAACACTGCATGAAAAAGTGGGTAACATTTTAGGGCTGGGTTGTAGCTCAGTGGTAGAAGTGCTGGTCTAGCATGGGCAAAGCCCATGGGTCAGTCCCTCACAGCACAAAAACAACCAGTCACCACAAACACACACTCTCACACATTCACACACACCCACAAACCAGTGTTGAACATAATATTGATAGGGAAAAGTTTTAGATAACTTAGTAGATTGAATATTAAGGTAGTTGTAGAAACAAAATAAGAAAGGTATTCCTTTAAGATTTGCTTTTCCCGTAACTCTTATTGTTTAAGGTGATGGTTATCTGATTCTTTAACCAGTAACTTCATTATAGATAACATTTTAACCTAACAAAGTTGCAAATGCCTGGGTGAATTTACAATGTATATGTGCTTATCTTGTGTCTGTGACTTGTAAATAGGAACCAGAATTGTATTTACACATCAAAGACCACTAGGGATGAGATAATGACTAACAAAGGTATAAAAAGAAGAGACTAACAGAGAACAGTGCTGACAATGACCAGACCAGTTTCTGGCAGTACTGTCTGCTTGCAAGTAAAATTTTATTATTTTACCCAAATTCTGTGTCTCCATGTATTTCTTTCTGCGATTTCCAGAACAATATGGGAAACACTTGCTTTTATATACTCTTAGTGGAAGGTGACATAATACAAGTACCACATGTCTTTAGGACTGCTAGACAATATATAAATATATGGAATTTGGCCTGGTAATTTAAATTTGAGTGGTAATTCTATACTGAGAATTAATCTTAATAAGATGTATAAACATGTGTGTTAATTATGATATGCTTATAATAGTAAGATATTGAAGACATACATTTTCACAGCTTATGTAAATTATGGTATATGCTTATAATAGATACTAGAACACACATTTTACAGATTATATATATTGTGGTAAACCCATGTAAATAATTATCATATATATAGTTACTTTTTTCAAATGAGGCATATCTGTAGGAAAGATACCTATGATGTATATATGAAGAAAATCTATTCAAAGGATACAAAGTATGATCCTACTTAAATGTATAAAGTATATGCAAGTATTTGGAAAATCTAAAAGGAGAAAGATAGTGGAGAAAATGTTTATATGTGAAATTATTAATAGTGTCTGTGAGTGGATGGGTGTATATAAATTTTTTTTGAATTATCTTTGCTTTCTATTTTTCTGTAACATATATTGCTCTTATAATGAGTTATTTTAAAGTAAGCAGATAAATGATTAAAGCAGTTTTCTTTATTTAGGGAATCACTCTTCAGCCAAAAACAAGAGACAAAAATAAAATGATTGTTCCTTTATACGTGGTGATTACAAATCACAAGTCAGGGGTTACAATTTATATCTAATGTCCCCTCAAAGCCTCATACACTCATAGGTGGGTTTTTGGGGACGTGAATAGATCATGGGGGCTTGATACTCATCAGTGGATTAGTTCACTAATGAGTTTATAACTAAATGTGATTTGGGAGGTTGAAAGAGATGTGTCAATGGGGGCATGGCTTGGAAGGATGTACCTTCTCCCCTTACCCTTCTCTCTCTCTTTGCTTCCTGCTGCCATGCCCATCTGTCCTGCTACCCTGCCTGGAGCCGCTGACCATGGACTGAAACCTCTACAAACTGTGAACCAAAATAAACCTTTCCTCCTTTAATTTGTGGATGTTGGGTATTGTGTCTCAGCAAGGAGACAGTAACTAAGACATTAAGTTTCATTACCAAGTGTTTTTTAAAAAATTCAATTAAAGATTCTTTTAGTAAACTTATCTTTTTTCAGCATCCCCCCTCCATTAAAAAAGGGTCTCACTATGTAATCCATGGTGGCCTGGAACTGGCTATGTAGCTCAAACTGACCTTGAACTCATGATTTTCCTGCTTCAGTCTCCTGAGTTCTGGGATTACAGGCATGTCCTGTCTTTAGTCCCTAATATACTATCTTCTTGTTATGGTCTGATCCATTGATGAGTTCATAGGTAACTGCGATGTGAGGAGGTTGGGCCTAGTTGGGAGTTGTATCTCTGGGGGTGTGCCTTTGGAGAGTATATCTGCTTCCCTGACCCTCTCCCCCAACCCCCCCGTCCTTTTTAGCTGCTCTTGGTTGAAGAGCTTTCCTCTGCCATGTCCTTCCACCATGCTGTTTTTGCCTTGGAGCTAGCCAACTGTGGACTAAATCATGAGCCAAAATAATCCTCTTATCCTTTAAGTTGATGGTGTTGGGTATTGTGTCCTAGTGATGGGGCAGTGACTAATACATTTTTCCTTTATAAACTCTGTAGAGAAATCATAAATATGTGTCTCCTCAAGGCTCCAAGGAGAACTCATTTTTCCATGGCTTACTTTATGCTATGTAAGTACAGTTTGTGATTGGCCAACTAGTTGTATGCAGGCATTGATGTGGGAGGTGCAGCTCCACTCACTAGGGTTGGGGAACTACTTGTCAGTGCCAACAGTGGTCTCTGATAGGTAAATGAAGCTGCAGGACCATCCTGGGAGGTGTTTGTGGGGAGAGGCCTATAATGCCCTAATCCCGCAACTCAGTTCCAGTGAGGATTGGGCAATAGAAAGAACAGAAAATAAAATAATCAGAATTAACTTTCAACTTTAGTAAATAGAGGCTTTCACCTAAAGAGAAAAGGTGAGTTCTGCTAATGTTGGGGAATCTTTATGAAAAGAATCCAGCTGTTCTTATAGGTGGTAGGAACAACCACCACATCACCATGATGGTGATAATAGCTGATATTTATTTAGTGATGACTGGGGTGTCCAGCACTAGCTCTGACAGATTTTAGTCCTTACAGAAAGACCATGATATAGGTAATACTGTTAGCATCCCTGTCTTATTAGTAGAAGCAATGACTAAACAGGAATCATGGTTTTGTAGACTACCTGGAATATGCCAGAAACTTTCAAAATCACTATCACTTTGGGGTTGGGGATATCTCATTCCCTAGCTAATCCTTTAAAATTTTGGGCTAGTCATTTGTCCCAAATGTTATCTACCACCATATGCAGCCAGGAAATTAAATCAATTGATCTCAAGTGCTTTTGGCAAAACTCTCTAGGGAGGATTACTGCACTGGGTGGTCTCTAAGTCAGGTCAAACACAGCCTTGCAAGTGAAGTCTTCCAAGTAGCCAGCAGATGGGTCAAATAATGACACTTTGGGGCCGGGGATTTAGCTCAGTGGTTCCACTGCCTGCTCTGCAAGCACAAGGTCCTGAGTTCGATCCCTGGTAGGTACCAAAAAAAAAAAAAAAAAGACAGTTCCCTGACAGTGAGGCTTGAGCTCTACCTTTATTATGTCCCTCTGGGGGCGGCCTCAAAATGTGGGTTATTTTCAAGGCTACCATGAAGCTAGAGGGTGAGTTATTGGACAGTGTCACAAACTTTACTGTTTATACTGAGCTTTGGTTGTTTCTCTTGAATAAACGCTTTATGGGATGCTGCCAGATTTTCGTTGTTTTTCAGAGTTCTGAAAAAGCTGACTCTGAAAAAGTTTTGCTAGATTTTTCATTATTTTATGGAGAAAATTTTCATAGATTCTTGTGTTACCATTTTCTTGAAATCTTTTCTGCTGTTCATGACCTCATTCATGTTTTTGCCAGAGCAGCATGGAATTACCTGTGGTAGTTAAAATAACTCCCTCGTTTAATTGAGCTGGCTTTGCTTGGTCAAACTACCTGGAAATCATAGAGATCTGGATAAAACGCATATCCTAATCCAGTAACTTTTTTGGATATGATGCCCATGAACCTATATTTGAATACTCTTAAATGGCTACATATTATTTCACTCTGTGGGTAAGATATAAAGTCTAACTGGTCTTGTTTCATTTACCTTTTAGATATATGAGTGTTTTTACGTACCTGCTTCCCCATATTATTGTCTTTTTTTTTTTGTTTTCTACCAGGGATCAAACTCAGGACGTTGCACTTGCAAGGCAGGCAGCGGCACCACTGAGCTAAATCCCCGGCCATTATTGTCTTTTTAAACTGATTGAAATCCCACATTTGGTTTTGTTGTTGTTATTTTGTTTTGTTTTTGTTTTTTGAGACAAGGTCTCCCTATATAGCTCAGGCCGGCCTTGAACTCACTATGTAGTTCAGGCTGGCCTCGAATTTGTGACACTCTTCGTGCCTCAGCCTCCCGAGTGCTGAGACTACAGGCTTGTGCCACTATACCCAGCTCACATCTGCTTTCAATTAGTAGTCAAACCATAAGTTTCTCTGAAGGAAAGAAAATCTAAAAAGGTGATGATTTAAGGTAATGTTCAGGCATTTCTATTTCCATTAGTGCTGAAATATATCTGAGCATGGACCAGAATTCAGAACTCCATGAAAGGGAGCTGCTATAGAGAGAGGTGATGTCACAAAGCCTGGGTACTGAGGTAGGGATTGGAGTTAACAGTGGCTTTCTATTCTGCCTACTCTGGTGGAAGACTGAGCTTTGAAAGTGAGTGATTTCTTCAACTTGAATCTTACTAATTGGAATTCTCCTTTTCAAATTAAAGGTATGAGAACCTTCTGGTAAGATGTTCTGTTTTCCTAAAGTGTGTTTTAATTGTATATATTTTTAAAACTTGGCCTTCATCCAGCCATGAACAGTTAGAAGGTAGTAAGTCTGCTTGGCAGTCAGACTGTTTTTTCTACTCCCCTTATTCACATTTTCCCAGTTTAAGAGAGTTAGACTAAGCAAAGTGATAACTAAAAATTGAATTTCCTGGGAGGCTTTATGATTTAGGATTTAGAAGCATAACAACAGTTTTTAGTAGAAAAATTCAAAATTTTTCCCTCCTAAAAAATGCAAAATTTACAAAATGGATTTGGAGATTGTCAGAACAATAACATTTTGGAGCAGTTATCCCCATAGGAGACCCTGAGCCTGATGTACAGCGAGTGATTACTTCTGACTGTGAACATAGTATAGGAGGTCCAGGTGTCTGTGAGTAAAACCACTAGCTCCTGTGTGAGCCTTTTTTTTTTTTTTTTGGTACTGGAGATCGAACTCAGGATCTTGCATTGTAAGACTTTTTATTACATAAAGTCACATCACTGCCTGTGAAAGGTAAAGATCCTTTCCACTGCCTGTCATTCTGTTCTTCTCTATGAATTTTGCATCTTAGTTTCTTGCATGTGGAAATAAACCATCTTATCCACACAGGGGGTCCAAGTTCTCCCTGAGAAGATTCTCTGGAGGCTTACGCATATAAAGATCTGTGTTTGGGCTCTATTCCTTTTCTAGGCTACTCATTCCTGTAAGAGGAGGGAGGTAACCTTCACTGATTGTCTGTGCTTCTTTGCCCAGGTATGTGTGCGACTTTTGACTGGACAATGATACTACTTATCATTTGGAGTGGGATCATGGTGACCATGTTTGTGTTAATAGGCACTGTCATCTGTCTTTATGTCAAAATGTTCAAGGCACTGAAGTGAGTCCTGGGGATAAGAGTGAACAACACCCCCCTGAAATGGGACACCTGGGGCTGTCTGCTTGGTAAGGTCTAGTCCTTGTTGCTGGTGTCATGCCCTAGGTGAGGTCAAGAACTACAGGCAGATTTGTACAGGCAAAGTTGGGTGGCTACAGGATCTTGGGTTTGTTCTTGGGGTTGTAAACTAGTAAGTAAAATGTTCTTAACATGGAGGGAGTGTGTGACAACAAGTGGTGCTTTTTTGGGGAGAGGACCCAAAAGATGGGACAGACTGGTTGTCAGCCGCAGTGATGTCCCCATTCTAGGGAGCTAGATGGTGGACCCTGGAGCTCAGGACATAGCTTCAGCCCCTTCCTCCTTACTCCTGCTTCTTCAAGGCCTGCAACAACTAGCTGGGTGTTGCCCACTTGCTAGTCACTCTGCCTTACTTTTGTAGCCTGAGTTTACATGTACAGCAGCTGTAGGAGAGGAAGGGATGAGAGGGGAACTTGGCACAGGGGGAGAGAGCTATAATCCAGGGCTCGTGTCATATGTGTGGCTGCAGCCCTGAACTTCCCAGAGAGCCCTGAGAATTCTAAGAAATGCACTGAAAAGAGAACTTCTAAGCCTGTGCTTTGTATATGTCATTTTTTAAGGGCTTCAAAGGAATGTGATCCTGAGGCTAACTCAGCCAACAACACCAAGGACAAGGTCATCCTGGCTGAAACCACTGCCGTGGACTCTTGTCCCAGCTTTCAATTCTCTAATGAATGCAAAATGTATGCAGATTATGATCCCCTGCCACCTTGCTTTTGTGACATAAATGAGGGACTCTGATGTGGCCATGGTGGCCACAAAAATCTTCATGTGCAATATTTCTCTTAGAAGACTGTTTTGTTACTCAAATAAGTTAAAGTCCAGGTGGTTGAGGATCAGATTGTTCCATCTCATTTTCCTTTGGGGTTGCTGTAGGTGATCTGGAAGTCTGTTTTTGAGGCTTGATTACGTGTCTTCTCATTTCCATGGGGGCCGGGGGAGGGCATGGGCTGCTGGCACCTGCTCAGCTCACCTCCTCTGTGCTGGGAGTGGCTCACAGTGCCAGCTGTGTGCTGGCAGGGGTGATGTGGCGGCCCGGAAGCCAAAATTTTTAATTTCTAATGAAGTCTGGTATCAAAGTTGTAGGCTCCTGTAGATAAAGTTCCCTCATGTCCTGGATTGGAGGGCCAGGGCCAAAATATTGGCTGCCTTTTAGTCCAGTTACCTTTTTAGTTTTGGTCTCTAAACTTTAGTTGTTGAACACCCAGAAGAGAAGGTCAGTTACATTAGTCTTGTAGTGGGAGCAGTGAGCTTAACTATTATAATTTTATCTGGATATTAAGTACCAAGGGAGTCTTGACTAGCAGTTTTCCCAAGCCTGAGGGGCCCTCATTTAATTGTCTTAACAAGTTTTTGATGACCTGAAGCAAAAGATTTTATGTATTTCATCTCAGAGAAACACCACCTGAAAGACTGGGCTCCATCGATGAGTTTCAGATTCAGCAGGTCTGTGGTGGGGCCCAAGAATTTGCATTTTCTACAAATTCAGGTGGTGCTGATGCTGTTGGTTCAGAACTGTCAACACATAGCCATCATCTCTACCAATCTCGATCTTAATGCATCTTTCAAACATTTTTATTGTTTTTTTTTTGGTACCAGGGATTGAACTCAGGAAACATTTTTATTGTTAAAGCATTCAAAAATCCTTTCTTCTAGTCTTTTCTTTTTTGTTTTGTTTTGAGACAGGGTCTCACTATGTAGTTTAGGCAGCCTTGAACTCATAATCTTCCTGCCTCAGCCTCCTGAGTCCTGGGGTACTGGGATTTTCTGTAACATCTGACTCTTCTAGCTTTTATTTTTTTGTTTTTTAATTTTTTCTGCTACCAGGGATCAAACTCAGGACCTTTTGCTTGCAAGGCAGGCATGGTGCCACTGAGGTAAATCCCCGGCTCAAGCTTTTAAAAATGTGTAGTACTTTGTTATTATCTATAGTCACTTTCTTATGCAATAACATACCAGAACTATTTGTTTCTTTTTATTTTTTTGAGATAGGGTCTCACTATGCAGTTCAGGCTGACCTTGAACTGACTTGACCATTTAGCCCAGGCTGGGCCTGAACTCTCAGTGGTCCTCCTGCCTCAGCCTCCTGAGTGTTGGGATTACAGCACCACCACGCCACCATGCTGGCCCAGAACTATTTGTTTCTACTTAGCTATAACTCAGTATCCACTCCTTAACTTCTCCTTCCCCTCTACTCTGGCCTCTGGGTGACGACCATATGACTCTCAACTTGTATGGGATTTTAAAAATGACTTTTTCTCCTCTTCCCAAGAGCATTTCCTTCCCTCTTCCCCCAAGTTCTTTTTTTTGTAAACGTTCTATTAACCGTCTTCAGCCTGTAATTGTTTGTTAGTATGGAAGTCATGTCTGATTTTGGGCTCACTCTCAGAGATGAGGGTTGTATACTCCAGGAAATTTCATATTGCCATGTGGGGAGACATTCTGTTACTTCCGCAGGAAGTTCCATTTTATTGCACTGACAAGGATGCTACCTACCATCAGTCTTGCCTTTACACATCAGTGAAGGGGTTTGTACTGATTTTGAGATGGCTGGCTGGCTGGCTTTCCTTCCTTCCTTCCTGGGAATTGAATTTTCTTTCTTTTTTTAATAATTAAGTTTATTGGTACAAGTTAGGTATACATAATGATCACATTTGAGACTATTTTCATTAAAGTTTCTTGTTGAAAAGTGCTGCTGACATCCAGAGTTCATTTTCTTTTTTAAAAGTTTATATTTATATTTATATTTATATGTACGTATTTGCAGTACATAATGATCACATTCATTGTGGGAAGTTGGTACATGCATATAACACGTCTTAATTATTTTTTCATTCCCTTCCCCTCTCCTTCCTACATCTCTTGCTCACCTTCCCTTTTGCAAAAGATCTCTCTCCCTGTTTTCTATTGTCTTTTATTTTCTCTTTAATTTATTTATATTCTGGGTTTCTCATATAGGAGAAATCAGATGATATTTAAACTTGTGTGTCTGATTTATTTCACTTAATATTATGGTCTCAAGATGCATCCATTCTCCTACAAATGACTGAAGTTTATCCTTCTTTATGTCAGATAAATACCATAAATATACAAAATAAATGTAAACATGTGTTATAAACCTGAACTAAAAATAATAATAATAATGAAGATGGGGAAGTGGATTGAGACAGAGGGAGGGAGGTAGGTGGGGAGGCGAAGGGGATAAAAAAGAATCAAGATGTGTTATGTACATGCACCTATTTCCTAAGATGAATGTAAACTTTGTGTAAGGCAAATACGTGCTAATAAAATTTAAAAAATCAAATAGCTGATGTGCCTGGAGTTATTTCTGTATCCTCTATTTGTTCCATTGAACCATATTTCTTTCTTTGGGTCAGTACCATGCTTTTTCTTTTTTCTTTCTTTCTTTTTTAATCACTGTAGCTTTGTAGTGTACCTTTAAGTCCCGGACTGTGGTGCTTTTTGCTTTACTCTTGTTGCCCAATATTGATTTTGCTATTCTGGGTCTCTTCTGGTTCTATATGAATTTTAGAACTATTTTCTCTAGTTCTGGGGCGAATGCTGTTGGTATTTTGATTGGGATTTTATTGAATCTATGTATCAGTTTTGGGAGTATGGCCATTTGGACAATGTTGGTTCTGCCTTTCCAGGGACAGGGGACATCTTTGCATTATCTGATTTCCTTTTAAGTCTTCTTATCTTTATCTGATAAAAGCTGTTTATGACAAACCAATAGCTAGCATCATATTAAATGGGGAAAAACAGAGCTTTCTGCTCAAAATTGTGAACAAGGCAAGGATGCCCATTTTACCACTTCTAGTTTTTGTTTTTGTACCAGGGATTGAACTCAGGACCTTAAGCTTGCGAGGCAGGCAGCAGCACCACTGAGCTAAATCCCTGGCCCACCACTTCTGTTTAACATAGTACTCAAAACATTAACCAGAGCAATCAGGTAAGACAAGGAAATAAAAGGGATACATATAGGAAAAGAAGAAGTGAAATTATTA